CCTTAAGTATTAAGATAAAAATTTCCCGATAATAAGGAACAATGTGGACGAGTATCAGATGGCGTGATCAGACGCCATCCTCGAGATGATAATTCGTGAGAAAAAAGGGCGTAGATGCGTTACGGTATCAAAAACAATGGTGGGAAGCATGCAGCCACCTCACATGAACACCAACTTAGAGATATGGACTGGAAAAGAAATTGGTTTGCCTTAAGAGAAGAAAGCACATTAATTTAAACTTTCGTATTGTGATAAGTACGAGTATAGCCCATGAAGCATTATAGGTATTTTCATTTTAACAATTTGAAGATACTATAATTATTATAATTAAACTATTGATTATAATTAGTATCATTTATGGTATATTATTAGACCATAGTATAGTTTAAAGTAATAAATTTATGAGTCCAAGCACAACTAAAATGCAATGAAGATACATATGACGGAAATTAATATACAGTTTTAAATTTTTTGTTTCACTACAAATAAAGGAAACAACACTGTCATTTAGTAAATATTTATACTAATGATTCTAACATTCCTTTCATAAAAAAGTGTTAGTTTCATAGGAAGATATTTTGTTATTCACCATGATGTTTTCTGGAATAAGGTTTAATATTAAGTAATTTACAATAAGTTTCAGTGACTTTTAATAGTTACATTGCAACAAATCCAATACATTGTATCGTTTTCTAGCAATCAGTATCGTCAGTGCTAATCTTCTACTATTATTCGATATCAAACATAACGTGTGATTTATATTTATTTTAGCACTAAAATCACAATGTTGAAATCCAACGGGCGAATACATCTCTGTACGTGATGTATGCGCGATCCCTCGCTCCGATAGCTGCGTGTGCGCACACCACAGAGATGCGCGCCGGAATGTACAGATACCATCTCCCGAGCTCTATGCCCTTTTTACGCTTTATCCGAATAAATAAAAATGTATTTGACATAAAATGTTAGTTTAATTTTTTGTTTGTAACACATATAGGCTACTTACCATAAATATTAATATACTTCTTTTAGACTATTAAATATTTAAAAAATAGACTACTTTTAGTTTACAACTTGCAACAACAACAAAAAATAATAAATAACCATCCTTTTTGCTTCTTTGTTGACGCGTAACAGTCTACTATCTCAGCTTTTCAATAGCCGTTACAGTATTAAACTTGGCATGGGATAATTATCTTAACTAATGAACCATTTAGACTAGAAACTTCGTTTTGTCGTACTCCAAGCAATGTAGGAACGAGCCAATGTTTCCCTAATGACCGGGACAAACGTGTAATTAACTCGCTAACGAAGACTTTACTCGCGATTATAGACTTGAGAAAATTTAAACTTCAACTTCTAAAGAAACGATTGTAGACATATCTCAATAGTTTGTTTATAAATTAAAAAAAAAAAAAGGCAAAAGTGTAAAGAAAAATCTGAATAATCTCAAGGTTAGTTGGGATAAGATAACCGTAATAGCGTGCCACATACAGCTAGTTTCTGAATTCAGTCAAAAATCAAAAGTCAAAAATATCAAATGATTATTAAAAAAAAAACAATAACGAAAACCTGTTAAAGTGACGTTTAAATACAGTTTAAAAACGTGCTTATCTTCAAATTCTCAATTCAGAAACCAGATGTTAACCTTTAATCCTGTAGGCTATATATTTTATGTGGTGATTAATGGTGCTCGCAGTAACTATCAGAGCCGAATTATGAGTCGAAACAAATTTTCTTTACACCTTCTAAATCAATGACATGTGACATTACAATTCTGACGATTTAGCTTTCTTTCATTTTCCTAAATCACTTATGTACACGTTAGAACAAAATACATAACGTTTTGTTTAGGTTACAATTGTGATCACACACACACACAGTATGGCCGGTTTTTGAATTTAAAAAGTATGTACAAAATCCCAACTGATTATCAATCTACAATTAATTGATTATTTAAAAAAAAATAAACCATGTACTAGAACCTGTTTAAGTGACGTTTAAGATGATTTAAATTCTCAATTAAAAAACCGGGTGTATGTGATATAATCCAGACTTTTAATTAGCAATTCGAGTTGACCCATCGTTGGTCTAGATTTAAAGCATACATCAGGTAAATTTAAGGTACAGCGTTGATCTAATCAAATCGTTACTAATTAATATGATGAGCTACTAGGGATAGTTTTATATTGTAAATATTACTACTGCTGTTTTTCCTGTTTTTCCTGTATAGCTGTTTTTCCGAGATTTCGTACGCCTTAATAATAGCCGATGTCAACCCTTAAAGAATTTTTAAAATCGGTCCAGTAATTTCGGAGCCTATTCAATGCAAACAAACAAACAAGCAATCAAATCTGTCCTCTTTTCTATATTATTAAATATAGACTACCTAAATACCCTAATAATCACTATCATGAATACTAAGTTAATTTTATTTTACGCTGTCTTTTGGCATTAAGTACCAATCGGGATACTGGCAGTCTAATAACAGTGAAAAACATTTAATTGCATCTCCAACATAACGAAGTTTACCAAGAGCTTTACCGTATCATTGCGTCGGACAGACGTCAAGTTTCTCCGTATCGGTGCGCTCGGACGAGTACTCACCAAGCAACGCCAGTGCGTTTGACTGCTTATCTTATTCATTTATTACAGTTATATCCACACCGCACTTACTTTTTATGGAATATGTAACGTTATGCAACACGACACTATATACATGTAAATAACCATAACCAATATTATTGCTATTTGTTACTTGACACATAGATACTGCCATGTTTTTTTTTTTATTTTGACAAATAGATACAAATTTGAACTTTCCGCCAGCAGCTTCGTCCACGTAGTTCTGTATTAAATATATAAACCTTCTTATATCGCTCTAAATATTGTTGAAAACTACATAAAAAATAATTATGTAATTTAAAATATCACAGCGCACAGACAGCGGGAATCTACTTTGTTTTATACTACGTATAAGTACCCGTATAGAAACTATGTGGCTCGACTTCTTGTTAAATAAAGGAAAATGCTATACGTATAACAAAGTATGTAAATATAACAGTTGTACCCAAAATAAGTTCAAGGGAGTGTTTGCTTCGCACAATCTGTCTACGTCCAGAACCGGCACATTGGCAACTCAAAATATAAATCCGATGCTGACATCTCCGTAATTAATGCTAAGCTTTCGACCGAACTAATGGCTCTTGCTCAAGCGGTCCGCTCAGACTCTAATGCAGATGTATATCTTGAGTTATGAAGACAGCTTCACACAAATTAAACTAAAAAAACAACTTTCTGTAGAAAACGTAATCATATACAAAACCGACAAACATCAAAACGTTTCGACGTCTCAAAAATTATTTCGCCAACGCATAATAGACGAAATGTATAAATATTTCATTATACTTTTAGTTTGTAATGCCATGTTGGTTTTAAATATTGAGGCAGTAGCTGTGTTACATCATAAACCTACGCCATTTAATATACATGTATGTCGTAAGTTTATGATCAAATCAGATTTTTGATCATAGACATTTTATTAACAACCGGAGGAGAAAAAAATATTAAATGTTATCATGAACCTGAAAAAAAAACAATATTCTAAACTATATGATTTTAAAGAAAAATGTAATTCGCTGTTGAATGGAAGATTTTAATTTTTGCAAAAAATTCGGAATTAAATTTGCAATAAAAGTATTCAATTAATTACTCAATTGAAAAAGACCATAATATGGCACCGTTTTATTGTGCAGAATATCTTGTAAATGATTGCAATATGTAAATAATTGGATTTAATTGTATAATAAATAGAATATATTTAATTATATTTAAACATCAATAAATTTAGGTTTAGACATAACTGTAATGTCATTTTCACTTGGAATGTCTTTCTTACCATTGCCTATCTCCTAATTTAATGTAAAATTAAAAACTATTGACTGTTTCAAATTCTTGATTTATTCAGACGAGCAGTAACTAACGTTGATTATATTATAAAACTTATCAAGCCTGTATGTACAAATTACTATGTTAACTTAGATTTAAATAATTTATATTCTCTCGGTTCTTGATCGATAGTCTGGGTGTTTGAAAAAACATCTCATTTTATTATAAATGTTAACTTCTAGTATATAAAATCTCTTTTTATCAGAACATGTTTCATGCCTGATGTATTGTGGCCACGTACGAGTAAATTAAACGCAAACTTCTCTTAATTAAAATACCACTTTCTGCATAAATAAATTGCAGTCATGATGATGATTCGTTCTGGGAGATAATTATCCGCCTCATTTACTGATTTAATTTATCTTTTTTTAACATAACTTTTAATTTTCCTGTATTATTCATAATTTATTGTAATATGTGTGATTTTGCTTCGTGTCGCCTGCATTTGTGTTGGTTATGCCTCGACTCACACGTATTTTGTTTTCTTTTGTAATAGTGACGTTAACTAACGATTTAATCATCTCGGTTACGGTTATTTTTCGTGCACGGAAGTCACATACTGTGCCACAGGTGAAGGTGGTAACATATTTTGTTTGTTCATGGAAAACAATTTACTAGAAGTAAATTTTAAATTCACTAGTTCAATAAAATCACTTTTAAATGCTATATAATCGGCACCGTTTTTATATAAATAGAATGTAATGAAACAATTTATGTGGTAAGATTCAGACATTCAGTCCTATTAACGATGTGTCATCATACACCAGGCGAGCTTATTCGACATCTTTATCATCAACAGCCGTACGAAGTCCACTGCTAAGCATAGGTCACCACCATAGATCTCCATGATCTGTCCTGCGCTATCCGCATCCAGCGGCTTCCCGTCACATTCATAAATTGGTCGGGCTATCTGATGGGGAGCCTGCTTAACATCGCCCGGTACGCGGTAACCATTACAGAACCTGTCCTCTCCAACTGCCATCGGTTCTTCTAACTATAATTTATTCATATTATTACTTAATTATTACCTAATCTCAACGTGTCCGTTGCAGATGGCGAGTATTGAAGTATCCTTGGCCGGGTCACGGCGACGTAGCGCGGGAACCCGTGACGCGGCCCGGGATCTCGAGGCTCTACGAACTGCACTTACCGACAAGGACACACTCATACAAAGGTTTGTAATAATATACTCGTTTAGTTGCCATTACATTCTATAAATATTTGATAGCAGTAAAATGTAATCTAGTCTTTTAATTGTTTCATAATCAGCAAAGTGATTAATAAATTTAAGTAGCACCTGTTTTCCTTAACATTATCTTTTACACCTCGCACTATTTTTTTCATCATTTCTCAGTTGCGTGCGAGATTACTGTTGTTATTAATTAGTGATTGGCTTATTCATCCGATAAAACGCATAACTCATATTTCCGTGGCAAATGTAACAATGATTTATCATAATAAAAATCACGGTATTATAAGTTACATAATTAAATCTATGTTGTCAGGAATGTCGAGTACATAATACCACATTCTTTCAGTTACAACTCTAATTTTAATTTATAAAATACTCTATCAGCCTCAAGAAACAGTTGAGCGCATCGCTGAGTGCTACTCGTCTGGCTGCGCAGGCGGCGTCGCCGGCACCCTCGGGCCGGGGGGAGGGTTGTCCCTCGCTGTCGGCTGAGGAGAGGCGCGCGCTAGAAGACCGCGCCGCAGCCGTGCACGCTGACCTCGAGACACGACGCAACAATATACAGGAACTACGACGCAGGCTGGAGAAGACACACGTTACCGAGTACGATATATAATGATAACCTATAATTTTCATTATCAGATTAGCCAGAATGTTTATCATATGTTATCGTTTACGACTTTGGTAGCAATTAATGCAGGTTTCTCCAAATACAAATTTGGAGAAACCCTTGTTACAAGTTTCCAGTAGTATCTATTGTGTGAGTTCCGCCCACATCTCATGAAAAAACACTTAAATCCTGAAGGACCTCATCGTGATGACAATTACACAGACACCTTGAAAATTAAGCTCTATTGTTTTTCTAAAGGAACCTGCTTGCATTTGTGGCTGCTTATTTTGCTGAGATTTAATATGTTTTAATAGAAAAATTGTAATTTACAAATAATAAGTTTAAAATTATTCATATTTACTGTAACGTTCTTAACAGCAATATCGACACACGGATCCAGCAAGCGGAGTTGCAATACAAATTGGGCCGCGAGGAGCTGGAGCTGTTGACGCTGGGCGAGCAGGCGCGTGCGCTCGCGCAGCTCATAGAGCAGTGCGACGCAGCCGCCCGGCGCAGCGAGCGCGCTACACTATATAGGTAAATACTCACAAACCATCGACACAGCCACAACGGACTCAGACTGCTGCAGTACAGCGGCGTTTCGATATCATACCATCGAATTCGAAACATCGATAAGCATTACTTTAGCATAGCATTGCAAAGTCATCTGAAGGTTTTATTAAGTTTTCGTAGAGCTTAAAGTTATGATGATGCTATGTCTACGTGCACTTCTCATCGATCGGCATTAGTTTGTGTAGGTAGACACTCTACACATCAGCGAACCTCTAAAAAAGTTGCAAAATGTAATTAGATGTTGTAAATAAGAATATCACATTAATCAGTCACTATATGCAAAAAATATGATGTGGATTTAGCGATATGACATTGCTGTTACAAATATTATTTCCTTTTTTAAATTTAAACAAAACTATACTTTTCCAACAGATGACAATTTTAATCATATCTAGTTCAAATTTTCTGAATAAACAGTTGTTGAAAATGTTTAATGAGAAACAAGAAAGTTGTACAATTACAACTTTCTTGTTTCTCTAACAATGGGAATGCAATACGTGGAAGTAATGAAGGTTGTAAAAATTTAACGATTCTATTGAAAAATGGTGAGTCGCACAAAAGCAATCAGGGTCGTGTAAACGGTGTCACGGGTAGTACTAACTGGTTATTTGCCGGAAAACCGTGAAGATCATAGATAGAAGACGGCTCACACAAATCGTCGGTAATTGTTACGTTTATTGCGTCACCGCCATTACGCGGGGGGCGGGACGGGAAACTTTCTACAGGCTAATGTGACCAAGCTATCTTTGGGAACCATCTCGCCACACAATCCATCCAATTCTTCAATACTAGAAAGCCTTACCAATTGTGTGTACACTATCATTTGCTCACTGTAATTATAAATGTAATCGAGATCTACGAAAAGCAACACTTTGAGCCAACAAGTGACAGAGTGAATGTCATAGCATACTGTAATGGCATACATGGATAAACCCAGCATTTTATATTTAAATTCTATTCGATACACGATAAATTCGAATTAATAATACCATGCGGTAAATACAAATCAATGAACTCGTAGTTAAATGAAACTAATGAATGAAATAGGTTGTTGAAAACCTTATTTAATGATTCTGAGAACGTTTACAATTGAGCTGAGACAATGGGACTGTTAGTGATCTATCATCGGTTAATATTTATGATAGGTTTTGGTTTCCCACGGCTGCGGCGGTACGAACCGAGTAGTGGTGGCGAGGAGCGGATGACGCAAAGTATATTGCGGTTAGAAGCCCTTGGAGTATGGCGCGACCGCCAGCGCCGGTGTTGAGGACCACTGACCTATATTGCGGCTTCTGTGACCATAATACTTTCACAGTATAATCTTAACAAATAATAAAACGATTATATTTGACCAATTTCGCATTCACAACGCTTTACTGGAAAATATTCTTAATTAAAAATGCTTACACAAATCTCTTTGTCCCTGGTACTCTGAGATGGGATTAAAACATATGATCGCAATCCAGCTCTAACCACTGAGCTACCCAGGACCAGGACACGAAGTACTGGTGAAGGTACCTTAAAACATTTTTGTTGGTCCCTTGTTAACGTTCTAACATTAGCACAAACAAAACCCTCTGTTGTGTAAGTACTACGAAACAACCGCCTTCCATGACCAATATCCATATACAATATAAAAATGTTATTATATTTAGGAAATATTTTAACAAGGATAAACTCAGTCCAAATCTTTATCAACTTTAGAACAGCAGTAATATTACATAATGATAAATATAACATAAACTCTGTAACAGAGGTCAGCAAGTAAATAAGTAAAGAGTTCGGGTACTGGTTTATTCAGTTTATAAAAGTCCAAAAAATAGCAATTCTTCTTTAGAAACATAAGCAGTAGCTAATATGCTGTAATTTAGACTGGTGAAAGAGTATCTTGCTAGAAGATTTATTGACATGAAAAAATGTGCATAGAAATTTTGGATGTAGGTAATGTTTACAATTTCTGACGTTCCTAGTTTCAATATTTTACAGTTCTCCTGTTGTGAATATGTGGGTGGCTTTGCTGTGATAATTCCACCCAGTATTCCAACTTCAGAAGGTGTGCAATAAAAAATATAGTTTAAATAGTTAAAAAAACAATCGTAACGCGTTAGACAAATACATACAATCATATGTAAGTCTCATACTACTGACGATCGGGAGGCGACAAGGCGTTCCAAATACTTATTTTAGATATGCGTCGCTATTGTTGCAAACAACAAATGAGTAATGGGATGCCATTAAGTATCTAGTACAGCACGTAAGTTATACTTTGCTATGTATTTTATAGCTTAGGTCTTATAATATTTTTTTATTATTTTATATGTTATGAATATTATTGCTTAAATTAATAATGGTAATATATAGAAAATTAACCTGTTTACAATAAGCTAGTTTATAAGTTTTAGTGCCAGATTTTCTTTTTGTTGTAAATGTGAATAAATTAACTGATTTTGAATTACTAAATATTTACAGATAACATATAAACATATGTGACGCCACAAACAACTGTTCTATGATAACATAAAACTCATCGCTTAATTAAAGCTTAATTAAATATCGATGTGACGCAGCAACTTACCAAGTTCCCATTGTCGCAATGGTACCCATTACTGCCTCGTGTGCCCACTTACTAAATTACCAACTTTATGGCTGTGAATCTCGCATTGTGCAATTTTTAATTAGACCGTTTGAATGTGTGTATATTTTATTAGATTTACACAATCATTATAATATGACTTAACCTTAACTGTAGACACACAGATAAAAAAAATATATAAAATCGCTCATTATTAGTCTCAAATTAGGAGTGTTTTAAAATCTTGACATAAATGTCTACAAAATTGGATTGAGAATTTCATTGGATTATCGATTTACGTAATAAATAAACAAGGGATAAAACATGTGTCACAACTTAAGAAATGTTACTAGCTTTCACCTAGTTTTTTTAACAAAGATCGCCAAATAAGCTGATTGCACTAGTATTACGATTTCAACATTCACGTGATAAACTATAGTTTATAAATTTGATTGTATTGTCACATCCTTCTTAATTTTTTTATTACGGACATATTCACATCGTGACGCTTTCGTAAAATTGCGTACTGACCCACAGTCACATCATAATTCTCCACTAATATACTTAACCCATCACACAAGGACCTCACTATATATAGTATGATGAGTTTAAATGATGATCCTATCCTATTAATATTATAAAGGCGAAAGTTTGTAAGTATGGATGTATGGATGTTTGTTACTCTTTCACGAAAAAACTACTGGACGGATTTGGATAAAACTTTACAGCAATATAGGTTATACATCAGAATAACACATAGGGTACTTTTTACTGGGAAAACTTCTCACTCCCACGGGATACCGACTTCCACGCGGACGAAGTCGCGGGCGTCCACTAGTAGGATATATGTAGATGTCGGTTGGTCTGCCATGCGGAAGTTAGACAAGTTAATCAAGGGCCGGTCATGGGATGGGTGATCAAAAATGTATTATTTTGAACTCCTCCATGATTCGGAAATCATGTTAAGCCGATGGTCCCGGCCCATTCTCGATTCAAATCGATTTCATCCATAGGGGCTGAGTGTTATGATGGACCGAGAGATTATTAAATTATTATGGTTACTTAACCTGTGTAATTAACGTGTTAGCCTCTGCATCATAAGCTCATTCAAGTTCTCGTAGCTATTTTATAACAGTTGCAATTAAAATCTCTAGAATTCAAATGGGAACGTAACAAATCTCCGAAATTATCTTTATAGCATTAAATACGCTCCATTATACAGAATAGAAAAATTTGGCATTGTGTTCGAAGTGTAATATAATTGTTAATTTAGACATAACAGTCCCACGTCTTTGTTGCGGACTGGCAGGGGGCGCGGCCGCTGCTTTAACACTCTTAATTTCATCTGTGGGAATCATCTGAGTGAACTATATGCATATATTAAATTTAACATAAATGTTGAGTGAAAGTTCCAGCAGTTGTTATTATTATTGGCTTTCTTTCATTCGGGAAGTGTTTGCAGAAACATTTTTTTTACGGAAAATATATAATAAAGATATTTTATGCCTGGACATAAGCTTCCTCTATACGCTAATATGCTCTTATTTTTCCTGTTTTAACGTTCTCCCATATTTTATTAATTTAATCCATACCCCAGAATTAATTGAATCCACCGGTTAGAATTTTTGTAATAGGGATGACGACTAATTTTTGTTGTCAGGTAGATTGTTGAAAAATAAAACATCGTAATTATTAAATTACAGCGATACATTCATTTAAAATGGCACATGACGTCACGCTTTTGTGCATGTTTCTACAAAAGTGTGACGTAGCGAGCCCCCACTCCTCAACTTTAATGCCTGTTATCTAAGCTATTTCTTGTTAAGTTGAAGTAACAAAAAATACCCATCTAATATTTTTCTATTATGTGACTGACGGACTACATATAATTTCTTTTATTACCCTATCCCTATTTATAATAAAAAAATCTTAGAACTGTACCTTTAACAAACATATGTGACACATATCAAAAGCGAGTCAAAAAGTAATTGAAGTAAATCGACAACTTTCGCTTCCTACAAACCGCCACTGACTGCGGTTACAACAAAAGTAGTCAGAATTAAACGTTTTTGAACTATATTGTTGCTTTACTGGCAGCAGCAAAGCATTAATCTAATTGAATTAATTTTTGAATTGAAATTTTGGCAATTATTGAATTGAATATGCCATCTTGATAAATAAGCAAAGAGCAAAGCGAAGTGTACAGCATGACACTTCAATGTAATAACGATCATATTATACACTGAAACCGACTATCGTAATAGTTTGTAATTCTCACATTTACCAAATGATATGTATATGATTATAACCTAAACCTACATTTGTGAAAATCTCGTATAATTCTTATTTCCTTTTCTCACTAATTTTTCGTACCTTTTATCCTACAAAATAC